TTCATCCAGCCTAACTTATCCGGAAAAACTGTCAGCTTACGAATGTGGTTTTGAGGGCGGCCGTAAGGTCACCTATAGTTATCAAAGTGTGCGACTGAACTTCACACTAGGGGCATATGGCTTACCTTCAACTGGCAGCAGTAGAGGAAACAAAGCATGCCCCCAAAAACCACCGGGCGTAGACCGAGGACCATCTTATCGTTTACGTCATGGACTACCAGGGTCATTTTGAATTTAAATAAAAAATGGATTATATCATTCTCTAAGTTTTTGTTTTGATTGCAATATCAAGTCGATCTGTTTCGAAAATTTAGGATTCAATAATTGCATATCAGAGATCCAGCGTTGTTGAAATTCAGCATCTTTGTAAAGCAACATCGTTTTTCTTAGTATACTTTGAACATTTTGCATGGAATCTCAGATGAGTTTGATGATCGCATTTATGGTTGAGTGTTCTGGGGAGCACGGCTCCGGTTCCCTTTCAGAAGAAAATCAACATTCGTATCCGAATCCGATTATATGGCTGATGCTGTTTTTGCCTTAGCCGGGGGCAAAGAGAGCAGGATGGTTGTTCTTGCTGCTCTGATATAGGTACCGATGTTGTCATACCTCATGCTATTCTAATTGTGAGCCAGGATTTGCACTGGATCTCACATGCTGCGCCTGCAACAGGCTGCACGGGCCACTTTCAGGCCCGTGACGTTTTCAGGCCAAAAGCCTGAAAACAAGGGCCTACAGGCCCCGTGTCGTTTCAGCCTGAAAGCCTGAAAAATAGGGCCTACAGGCCCTGTGTCGTTTCAGCCTAAATGAGGGCCTTTCCGGCCCTGAGTCTTTTCAGCCTGAAACTGAGGGCCATTTTCAGGCCCTCATCAGATCGACCCGCCCTGAAACTCAGGTACCAAACCAGGGTTTAAGCACAGGCCATTTTGGGCCTGTTTTCAAGACAAACCCTGGTGAGCTTCAACGCGAGGGTCGGGCACGTTTCGGCATTGGCAAGAGCAGCCTCCTGGACGGGCCAGCACCATATAGGACTGGCCCGCCCTGCAGGCAGGTAGGTAGTTCCTGGGTACTTCCCAGGCACTTCATGTGCAGTTCAGGAGGCAGGAAGTAGTAGCGCTAGCAGTAGTCTTCGGCGCTGGGCGCTATTAGGAGCTAGAGTAGTAAGAGAGAGAGAGAGATTGGGCGGAGGCCAGGGAGACTTACCTGCAGCGCCATAGCTTCAGCTTCGTCGTCGAGGTACCTGCAGCACAGCGCCAGCTTCACAGGTTAGTACCTGGCACGTGAGAGAGAGAGAGAGAGTTCTTCGTCTTACTCTTCTCAGTCCATTATCTCCCTCTCACCCTCTTGCTATCTGACTTCACTGCATCAGCAGACTACGAGAGAGAGAGAGAGCTTGGTGACATTTGGATCCAGACTCAATGTTGGGCTTCAGAAGTTTTGACGAGGGATTATTTGGGACTTGTAACGAAGACTTGGTGTTGACGACTTTCCCATCTCCCCCCTCCTCTTCTCCGTTTGTTCCCCTCCTCTTCGTCTGTGCATGATCAGGACCTGGCACATTCTTCCTGTATGTAGCGCCAGGCCTCCTTCACACCTTGTGATGAAGATGATGTATGTTTAGTCTGCATTGCAACATGGATGGGGTTGTTATTGGTATTCTAGCATTCTGCTGCGCTATCTTGTGCTACGTGAGTGGGGTCAGTTCCGGTCAGGTCAGGACTTGTATGTAAGTCTTCCCCTGCGCGATAAAGCACCATCTTTGTATGTATCAGAATGTACATTGCTTGTTGAGATTCTACTTGCACTGCATTGTCCATTCAGTCCTTTTCATCACATTGCGGATCCTCGGTTATATGTGTACAACGCCCAACTGGGCATGTAACATTGGCTTAAAGCTCCGAGTGACGCAAGCAAAATAATGATAATGAATGTGTCGGTGCGGACAATCAGCAAGGAAGTCATGTGTTGTAACTAGTTTTTTGAGAGTCTGTAGATCTCAATCCAAGAGTCGAACAAGAATGGGGGTTAAGAAATTCCGAAAGATGCTTTGATTTACAGTGTTTCCTGTTGCAAGGAAGATGAGCAATAGCGAACTTCAGCAATCAAACAGCATCATACATATGAGTCCAGATAGTCGTGACCTCGAACCAACAGCAGAATTGCATCACGAGATTCACCAAATAAGAGTACACCAAGAGTTCATAATTGACAATGCTGAAATAGTCCCATCATCATCAACAAAGAACCAGAGTTGATATCCTATCTGGCGCTCGGCGCCCAGACTACCTGTGGCAGATCCTATCTAGCCTATGCTACGATGCCAAAAGATGACGGCAACAGCTTTCCCGAAGTACGAGCATACAGCGACCAATGTCGCACGCTTCCAGCACCAGGTATGTCTCTCGCCACACTCACAACCTCGTTCCCCAACACACAGATGCCACTAGCACCCAAGGACCACCCTGTGCCTCACCCAGCTTACAGCAGCGCAGCTCGGCTATGGCTCTGTGCTCCTTCCCTGCTTGCCCGTGAGAGCGTAGGCGCCAGCCAGCAAATAGCGCAGCAGCACTTGCGCAGCATGCAGCCAGCACCCGAATGTCCAATGAGGAGGCAGGACCTTCGCTATATCGAAGTGGCCTGCCTGCGTCCAGTCCCAGAAGCTTCCAGTAGGCCCCGGCAGCCTGAGGCCCAGCACGTCCGAGAACAGGCCTTGGGCCTGAGTTGGTTGCATGCGCCCAACTGCCTCTGGCCTGTGTTCGGCCCAGTACCCGTATCCAGCCCAGGGCCTGCTTTCCATACATTCACACAGGCGGCCTAGGGCCTGGGTTCTCTCAACCAACTGGTGCTGCGCAACTGCCTGAATTTCCTTGAGTTGCGCAGAGGCCGAAATAAAGGCCCTAAGGGGCCTTGTCGAGCCTGCCTTCACTTAGGGCGGCCGACAGGCTCCCAAAAAGGGGCTGAATGGGGCTCATAGAGGCAGTGGCCTCGCACTGTGATTTCTTGGACGGAGCAACTCTGCTGATGAGCCCGTGGGATTCAGACACGAAGCGTCTGGGGGCCATCAGTCCGCACCACTGGCAAGCCAAATTTACATGAGAGGCAGTTAGAGACGAATAGAAAGAGTAGATCAGACGAGAAGCAGATACAGCCATCCTCGCAGGTCTAGTCGCTTACGCAACGGGGGGGGGGGGGGGGGGGGGGTCGCTCTCCCCCCGAACCATGACCCATTTGCAGGATCCACTTGCTGGCCGGAAAGCTTACTGGAAGCAGCCAGACACACTGGATGTGGATCCTGTAAATGTCGGGGTGTGGGGGAGAGCCGCCTGGTAGTCTCACCGGCCGGTCAATGTCCAAACTCTAGGTGAATATCCATTTCTCAGTCATTGTCCCTACCGTCTACTCAATGGCACTATCTCACTGTTCCCTTACCGTTTGCTTGACATCCAGATACTTTGCCTGCTGTCTACCCTTCTACTACAAACTCGATATATTGTATGCCTCATTCTTGGCCTCGCATTATGTGCCTATTCCCTACCTTGGGCTCACTAAAACCCCTTCTACCTCTTCCCTTTTGTCTTTTATTGGCCTGGGTGGCTATGCGGTTGAAGTTGGCAAGAGTGAAGCAAGGAAGGTATGCCTATTGGGAAGTTTTGGATGCCTAAACCCTAGGTTACTCTATGAGGGTTTCCTGTTGTCTGGTGATTCTGAGGTGTGGCTTGGGGTGTCATTGAGAGGGGGCTAGGGGTCATGGGAAGGGGGGTATAGTCCCGGGGGGAAGATTATTTGGTGCAATTGGGAATATAGTAGATGTGGGATAGAGATGTTCGTCGGGTGCGTAATTGGGGTTGGGGGGGTGTGAGAATATTCAGTGGGGTGGGCAGGTGGAGAGGTGAGGTAGCGGGAGGGCATGTGGGGTAAGTGATTCACTGTTCAGCGGTTTGGTTTTAGATGAGCGAAGTGTGGCTAGTCTGTGTGAACTTGTGTTGGTGGCTGTTGTGTTAGCTGTGTTGTTAGTGAGTGAGTAGGAAGTATTATTAATGGATGGGGATGAAGGATTAGTCTAAATTTGGGGGAGTTAGTCTGTCCACTTTCCATACTCTGTGGGGCATGAGTCCTTTGACTCCTTCCTCTTTTAGCCTTTTATTATTTAGGGGCTTTTTGGCTTAGATGATATCATCTGTTCTGTCCTGTACAATGTGAGTGTCTGCTTCTGCAGTGGTGGTCTGTGGGTCTATTGTGTTGACGTTCAGTCTTTGGTTATGCTGAGTTGACATGGTTAACCAGTTTTTCATTATCAGTCTGTTTCCATCTATCGTACCTAGATTTCCTCCTAGTTTGGATGCGGTGAATCTTTTGATAAGTTATGGTGTTTTGTCCGCTTTTCGATCTGGGTTCGAGTCCTCTTCCACACAGCCTGTAAGTTTCTATGAGTTGTTTGAACCGGTCTGGGACTTGAATGCCGAATCGCATGAAATCCTTTCACAAGTATAAAGAACATGTGCGGTGTAGAGTTGTGGAAATACAGTACCACATAAGGATGCACTGATGTCAACAGGACATAACCAATGTTGTTAGCTGATTTTTCATCTCTGTGCTTTGTCTGCCTCACAGATGTGCTGCAGATGGCAGTACCGGAAAGATAGATGACATTATCGTTGTTGTAAGGTTCTGCGGAAGGCCAGAGGGCATTAAGGACCTGGTTCGTCACCTGATGTTTGACTTATGTGCTTTGTTCGCATGCCTGATGTGCTGCAGATGGGAGTACCTGAAGGCACCTGGAGTGGACTCTGAAAAGAAACCAATATCCTGCCGTCTTGAAGATGGATGCTCTCTCCATCTTCATGGTCCCACAAGTTGGGAGGGCATGAGTGACTTGCCTGGGTTTGCATTTGTTTACTCTCACACCTCGACACCTGGGATAGTCATGTCGACTGGGAACGTTGGGCAATACTTGTATGAGAACAAGGAGGTGAGTTCTCTTCAGTTGTGCTGTCTTGGTTGCCTTGAAACCTAGTCCCTGCAGAGCTTGTTTTGATGGAGCCTTCTCCTAAGTCATGGTGTCATTCGGGATGATATTTGTTTATTATGAGGATGCAAATCAATCTCCATTGACGGGAATAAAAGGAGGACGAGAGGTGGCAAGTCCAATGCTCATAGCCACAAGTCTACATTACATCCTAATGCAAATTCTGTTTTAAGCTTCTGTCATGGCTGGATCTGTCAGCCAGGTAGCTGAAAGGCCAGGCCCTTCTGGGGTAAAAAAGACAAAAAGGTAGTGTGTGTATGCTACACTCCTTTCTTATCTAAGGTGCTGTTAGGGTGTGGAGGATCTACCGAAGAAAAAGCGCTCCTGTGCTCTTATTCCTGTGCTGAAACATTTTGAGGCATGGTGTGTGATGGACATGGGACAAAAGAAATTGTTATGCTCTTTCGTAAAAGCATGCTGCTCTGCTCCGCCATGCTGAACTTTTTAACTACACTCTCCTTCTCATGCAGAGAGTGAATCACCTTCTCTCTCTCTCTCTCCTGTCTCTTATACACATCTAGATGTGTATAAGAGACAGATGTAGCGCAGACCACCCCACCAAAATCAAGGCAGGCAGTGAATATGAAATAGAGCACGAGCTGGCCGAATATATCGAATTCAGGTCTGTGTTTCAGCAGTTATGGGTTGCTCACGTAGCTAGGGCCTGTTTGTCTCTGCACGTGACTCTTAGGGCTTGGCTGCACTACTCACGGAACGTGGAATAATACACTGCACGTATTCCTAGGAAAAGAAAAACGAAAAAACAAAAGAAAAGCAAGAAAAGTTCAGAAAACAGAGAAATGGTGACCCATAACTGACATGCACAGACCTGAATTCGAATCCAGACTATATATTCTCTGCCCACCCTCAGGGAGTACAAGTTAGAAGTGTATCTCTGCTTGACGTCGGGTCCTGGCTAATATGCTGTAGGGATCCTTCCGAAAAGAGGCTGGGCACAACGAGGACAATTTTGTTTTTCTGTTTTTTGAATGCGCCGCATCACTTGTTCGTGCGTGCATGTGCGTGCGGCACCCCGCGCATGAGATGCGCTGCAAGTGTGATTCGAACACCTCTCTCTCTCTCTCACACACACACACACACACACACACACACACACACACACAAAGGGGGTCTGAGAGGGGGTCCGAAATCCCCCGACAGGTGACTGTGCTGGGGGGGCCCGGCCCCCAACCAGGTGCCCTGCCCGGCCAGGCCGCCTGGGACCTCCCCCGGGCCCCTGCCGGTCACCCGGGCGGCCCGGATCCCCACTCAGATAAAAAGAAAAAAACGTAAAGGAAGAAAATCAGCGGAACTGACAGCCACTTCCTTCTTTGAAAGGGTGACGGCCTCGAGACATCATGATTGATTGACCAGGCCCAGGGAGTTCATACGGGCTCGCTGCACTACTCTCGACATGCACACAAGACATATATGGCAATGTATCTTTCCATGTTCAAGCGGAGGATTCAATCTCATTTGTTTAGAGATTCTCCCCAAAAAAAAAAAAAAAAGTTCCAGAGATACGTTACGTGCTTACCTGATTCATTCTCATTTTGCACATTTGGTAAGTAGCGGAGCAACGGCCCTTCGCTCTCCACCACCCAACATATGAGCAAAATGGGAATGGATCTTCCGCCGGAACATAGAAAGATACACCGCCATATTTTTTGTCCTTTGTGCATGTCGCCCGGCTTCCGGATTCAGGTTGGCCGTTGATAAGGGCGGTTTCTTCGGCCCGATAGTGTCAGCACACGGTTTCTCTCTCTCTCTCTCTCACACACACA